AAAAACAGGCTCAGGGCTTAACAGGTTAACCACATATTCAACAGTTTTCTCATCACACCAAGACAACAGAGGTGCATATAATCTATTGGGAATGAAGAAACCATATTTACTGTCCCTGTTAAAGGACTGAGTGTCTGTTTCAGGTGATGTTCTTCATCAATCATATCACAATAACTGGAGCCTGTCCTAAGCCTGGCATTTGTTTCAGGATAAGTCATTTTCTTCCTCTACACACCATGTTGATCACACTTGTCGCATCCTGAATAGCCATTATGTGACTTGATATTCTTAACGTATACGGGCTCTGGCTGGAGCATCACACACAAATGAGGAAACCAGTACTTTCAATCGGTTACCATTATGAACAACGCCATTAGCCAGTACATTTTTAAGGTTGCTAATAAAATGCTGCAGATACTCAACAACACACTTGGGCTTGCTTAAACCACAAAATATACCGACAATAAATGGGGACTTAGTATAATCACATTTCAGAATTGCAAGTATAGGCCAGAATTGAAGTCTTGAACTCTTAAAGAGAGGGAGACCATCTATGTTGAACTGTAAAGTAAGAGTTCTGAGGCTCACTGGTAAACTCAAACATTTCAATTGTGAAAGTATCCCTCGCACCAATCCATAATGGTAGTACTCGCCACCTTGCATTTGAGTGGTTGCAACATCATGTTGTGTTCTAAGCAGAGTTCTTCCATCCTTAGGGAGCCTATAGGGTGAACAAGCTTTAAGGTGGACAGCAGAGCATACAAAGCAACCAGACTGATTGAGTAGGATGTTGCCCAATATCTTAGGCTCCTCATAAGCAGATTCTGACTAGGCTGATGCTCGTCATGGCTGTCAGAGTCAGAATCTGATTCAACATTACCAGCCACACTACCATCTGTATGATCATTTACAATTTGTACATGGTCTGACTCAACTTAATCATCCCCAGCTACACTACCATCAGTATGATCATTTTCCATGTGTACATGGGAAGCTGGTGGTGTATCTAGTTGGGAAACGTGTGAGATTCTGAAGGGTGGTTCCCTATTCACACAGGGGTCTAAATGTGACTTGTTATTATAAAGAGTTTCCTCGTATTCCTTAAGGATATCTTTCTCCATGTCCCTTACAGTTCTGATGACTCTACGTCTTTTAGACCAATAAGAAGCCATCTTACACTCTTAAAACTACTGGGTTAAAAAATAACCCAATCATAACCCAGCTGCTGAGTCACTATAGGACAGAACACGCGCTAAGTTGTCTTAACCCATATGCTGGGCTGGATCATTGTAACCCATACATTGGGTTGTTTATTTGACCCAAGCTAGTGATTGAAATTAACTACATCACTGGGTTAAATAAATATAAACCATACATTGGGTTGTTCATTTGACCCAAGCTAGTGATTGAAATTAACTATATTGTTGGGCTAAATATAATATAATAATAATGTATAATAGTGTAATGAATAATCTCCAAACACACCGTGTATATATATATATATATATATATATATAAAAATGCATTTATTCATAATTTGAACATCTTTGGCAAATCGTCAACATTCAGGCCACTATAAAAGAACAATGCAAACAATACAAATTCAACCCTCCCCCCAAAAAAAAACAAAGAGCCTTAAAACAAATGATATATTACAAAGTGCTGTTATCTGGACCAACTTCTCTTTCAGGTTTAAATAACATGAACATGTTTAAATATAGAGATAAAACATTTCTCTGCCCAGCAGAAACTATATACAGACACAAACATAAAAAGGTAAATAAATAAATGAAGTAAATTAAATAATAAGTAAATTAAATCACGTAAAGTAAGAAAAATAAATAAATGAATTAACAGGAATAGTAGGTACTGTAAACGCGGGTCAATGTTTTGACACAATTAAAGTGTGTGCCTACTGTCTTCTGCAATCATGTTTTGTGTCAATCATATTTTTAGAGAGCAGCTGTCAACTTGTTTGACACACATCACTAAAAGGCTACTTCTCTCTGTGTACCTTTAGGCCAAAGCTGCAATTGATGTCCTCATAAATTTGACATTTGAGGATTCATGTCCATCAATGTTATATACTGCCTGTTGGATAAACTCCCAGGTGGGGAGACACTGCTTTGTGTAATTGAGGTCAAACACAAAGAAAGCCTTAAAACACAGATCTACTGCACCCAGCAAAGTGTCCGTTTCAATGGCGTTGTCTGACACAATGGTGAAGGTCTGGCATGTTGTCATGTCATCACCAAGACACAAGATGTGCGGGAAGGGTTGAGTTCTCTCTGCTGTCTGTAGGTACTGTACCATGTTGGTGCCCACCTGTTAATTACACAACAGTTACTTGCAATATAACCTGCCATTTAAGTTAAGCATGTTGTTTTTATTATCTTTTTTATTGAAGTATGAAAATGCTAGTATATAAACACAGAAACACCCACCATTATTGAAGTAGAAAAACAAAAGTAAAACGTACTGGTTGGATATTAATGAAAGACTTGCGGGACTCCTCTATGGTGGGTCTGTGGACTTTTCCTCCAATCCTGTAGACCGATGGAGGAAGCAGAGTCGGCAGGACTTTCAAAGCTCGGTCTACGCAATATAAGAAAAATACATATTAACATCAACATTTAAATAGTATATAAAGATTGATATTTCTGAACCAATATTGACTTTTCTGCCCTGGTGTTGAATGGTAAAAACAAGGCGTGAATTGTATAGCCTATTATAATCACAGGAAGTGTTGTGACATCTTATCAGAATCTGAATCGTTATTGTCACATCACAGGTTTACAGGTGTAAAACGGTGGGTGAAATTTGTTTTTGTGCAAGCTCCATCGTTTTGATTGTTTCCAGAAAGAGAAAGAAAAGGAAGGGGGGGAGCAGGAATCAAAGAAAGACAAAAGGTATCTAATGAAGTGGTTCACAAACTTGTTCATGTATTTATGTATTTGTCAACAGACTCCCATCCGAAAACATGTTGTGCAAGGGACCCCATACAGATGATTGTTAAAATATTAAAAAAATTGCAGATCCACAAGCTCACAACGAGTCTCATTGGGACGCAATGCAAGCATGTAGATCTGCTATTTTCAAAGAACCGGTGTGTGTTACATAGTAAGAAATAGCTTACCTGGTGTCATGTCATCAAACACCAAGGGCAGTTTTCCCTCTCTCTGGGCATATGTAAGGATTTGGTCACTCATAGTAGCCCAGTTCTGAAACAGTTTTCCCACTGCCTCTGGATGAAGCTGCTGGAAGTCTTGTGATATCTGATACATTTTGAAAAACATGAAAAACAATAGAACAGTGTTTAAAGAAATGATATGGGCTTGTAGTACCTGTTAGGAAAAGGGTTAGGGGACAATTTGACAGCCAGTGTCACTTCAACAGGTAAATTATTAAATTATTACAAAGTATATACTGTAGGGTCTAAGTGGTTAAACATAAACTTGTAGTGCATTGCAGAGTATCAATCAAATTGTCACGATCTGTCTGTGTTGTGTTTTGTCTTGTCTAGATCTGTTTTTGGTTTCCTGTTTTATTTTGAAAAGTGTTCACCCCCCCCCCCCCTGTCTTGTCTGTTGCTTCCTGTCTCTGTGTTCCCTCCTGCCTGATAACCCAATTGTGTTCACCTTGTGCCTCTGTGTTTTCTCCTCCCTCCTCACCTGTGTCTTTTCTTCCTTCCTGTGTTTTCCCTCCTGTGTCTGATTGTATTCACCTATTGCCTTTGTGTTTCTGTATTCCCTCCCTGTGTCTTGCCCTGTGATTACCCCTCTTTGTATTTAGTCAATCAATCAATCAATCAATCAATGAATGTTTATTTATATAGCCCAATATCACAAATGTTACATTTGTCTCAGTGGACTTCACAGTTTGTACAAAATATCAGTATGACAATACAATTTAGTCTCGTCTTCCCCTGTGCTCCTTGTCGGTTCATTGTCTTTCCTGTCACCCTCCATGTTTGTCACTGTCGTTTTTGGCTGGATGCTACCTTGTGCTACCTGTTTATGGATTCATGGTTTTGTTTTGTTTTTTCATTGTCAACAACTTTTTGTAATTAAAGCTCGCCTTTTGTTACACTTTGAAACCCGCTTTTCCTCAATCTGCATTTGGGTCCTGCCTTACTTCAAATCCTAACACAAATAGAGTATCATTCAAATAGACAAAACCGCAATAGCAAAATAATTTCTTACCATGCCAGGATTGTCTAAAAGCCTAGGGAACTCAGTCAAGATTTCCGGGAGGCTTTTAGATCCATTGCTGCGAATCCACTTGCCTCTATGTAGAGCTGTTTGATTCATGTAGTCCTCAACTTGGGACACTGGATACCTATTGACCTTCATCCATTCATCCATTTCTAGAAGTTTTTCAGGAGGCACATCATATTCTGTTGAATGATAAGTACAGAGGTCCTCAGATTCATTATAGCTGATTTCAAACATTTGGGGTTCTGGCCTACTTGGGAGAGTGTGTGAAAAGTCACCAATCGGTCCAGCGGTGCCTGAGACTAGCTTTTAGAAGATGGATGGACAGAAGAGTCATGGGACCTAAAATATAATCCCTTGCATTTGTCTATTCTAGCCTGGCGGGGATAATTAATATTGGTTATTAGTATTACCTGGTGTACTAGGGACGGTCTGTTCCTTCTGTTGTTCTTGGTGGCGTGGTCGTTTCAGCATTCTCATGCGCTTCCTGACGTTCCTCAAGCACTCCTCCAGGAAACCTGTAGCAGGTTTGTGATTTCGGCCAGGTGTGTACCAAGCTCCCTGTAAAAGAGAAAATTAGATTCAGATTAAATTGGCCTGGCGTAAACCATGAAGATGGTTACATGGGATTTTAAGGAGCAATCCAAAAATGTGCGTGTGACTGTGCACTAGGAAAAACGTTTGAGCACATTTCTTTTAGGTGTGTGTGTGTATGGAGTGTTCTCCTTTATGTGTTGATTGATTAACTTACATAGCCACTGCCTGTACCATCCAAAAGGCCAGAGAATTCATACACCAATGCCACGGCAAGGGCTTTCTTTGTGTCTGTGGATGGCCTGTTAAAATAGACAGTAGAAGTTTGTCAAAGAACGATGAGATGAGACAGTAATCATTGTTACAAATATATGACGATTCAAATCCATGAATTAAACACTGAATTGTGATGCGCTTTTAAAGTGCATTTGAGTTCTGCTGTTCACCGCATGCACTCCTTGGTTGTTGTTGAAGGTGTGTGATAGCCAGTGTTGGACAGCAACATCGTACATTTACTTTACTGACATTTCTTATCTCATCTGTTTGAAAGTGTATGTTCACAGAATAATTCATATGCGGCTCACTCATTTATGACTTAACATCTCTGTCTCCTATTGATCTGAGTATATTATAAAGAATAGCAGTTAATTGTAGCATTATAGCACAGGCCTTTGTCAGATGGTATATTACGCTGTTTTTTTCCTGCTTCGAATAGTTCTCTCTTTTTTCACCATACCTGTGTTCGCATCCCTGTAACCAATGAGCACCTACGTGTGAGAATGGCCCTGACTCCATGTCAGCCCAGATTTACAAACTCCTGGCAGGACAAGCTCCAGCTCAATTCTCTCACTGAATTTAAACAAAGTGAGTGAGGGACTGCAATATAAGAGGGAAAGAAAAAGAAACTTTAAAACTGTTCAATTGCTATGATGTGTAAAGACTGATATTGTTCTATAATCGGCTGAAACTGTTAAGTCATGATGTGAAACGGTTAACAAAGAAAAAGAGAAACTCAAGCTGCTGCTACACTTTATTTTATTTATCTAAAATTAAGCACTTTAAGATGCACATATTTTCAAAAGCTATTTTATTTATTAGAGGAAACTGAGTTATTTAGTTTGTTAAAGTTTCACCTATTCTGTTTACACTTCTGTCATCACATTATTTAATACCATTTGTTAAAACACTGTTGTTTCTTTTGATGTGAAATATTATTTATTTAATTTAAATTAAAAGCAATGTTAATTTTGTTCAAAATGTGTTTAGTTAATTTAATAATATATGTATTTTTGAATCAAGTATTCATCTTTATTGTCTTCATTGTTAGTTTCCACATGCCTAAAACAGCCTCAAGCTAAATCTAAAAGTTGATGGCTAAATAAGAGCGTTTGAGAAATTGTGCAAGGTACAGTAATAGTCTGAATAGTCGATTAATCGTTTCATTAATCGATAGATTAATCGATTATCAAATTAGTTGTTTGTTGCAGCGCTACCTTGCTCTTTTTAATATATAACAAAATATTTAATAGTAACATCTCAACATTGTCTCAATAAAAATTAACTTACCTTTAAATGTGTCAATCAAGTTCTCAAGCTGCCATGCAGTCAACGTCTCTGTGACAAACGTGTCCATGGTGAAACCCTCTACTAGAATAAAATCAGATTAAGTACATTAGAATTTCACAAAACTGTGCAATGTTTTAACATTTATTGTAAGGTACCAAGCTACTAATGTACAGTGACTACAGGGGGTCTGCCAAATCTCTCCATGAAGACATTTTAATCATTCACGAATTATTATTATTTGCCCCTGACACGACCTAGCTGGTTGGTGTGCTATGCTAAGCTAAGCTAACCGATGGTAACACGTCCATGGCAGGGAACTAAAATGTTACATTATGTGGTTCGGTGACTCCGGTCACTCACTCCTAAAAATAACTTCAATAGTTGCTAACTTTAATGATTAATGTAATTAATAAATAACTCTAGTAACCTAAACTTACCTACATCAATGAGCTTCTTTGTCGTCTGTCTGTCCGTATGTGTGAAAGCCCGCGCCCGAGCTTCATGCTGGGAAAGAGAGTTGTGACGTAAAAGCCATCTGATTTATACTGCCTTATTGTACATCTAATACTTTTGCACACAAATCCAAAGCTATAGTTCAGACCCATTTATAACTACTAGTAGAACACACGTCTTTGTAAAATAATAATTCATCGCATCACAACGTAAATTCAAGGCTCTTTCACTCATTGACAGAAATGTAAAACATTTGTAGCCGACGTTAACTGCTAATGTTATACTTTGCACAGTCTGTTAAATGCCTACAGATCCCTATTGAACTGTTATCACAACTCATTAAAAAAATATAGGTTACAGAATTGTATAATTATAGGTAAAATATAGGTTACATACCTTGTGTTTTGAAAAAGATGATTCCAGAATGATTCAGAAGTGGGAAAATGAATAAAGCAACCTCTGGGTTAAAAATAACCCAGGCGGGTGTTCAACTGCAATTGAAGCCCTAATAACCCCTTTGACCCAGCATGAACAACCCACCAGTGTGTTTACAGTACCCAAATAACCCATAATTATGACCCAGCCAAATCAACCCAGCAATGTGTTTATAGAAATAACCCAGCATTTTTAAGAGTGTAGGTAAAGAGAAGTGGTGCTGCTATAATTACATTACTTGGCCTTGTGTATTGCAGTGAATCCCCTCGACTCGTCTTGTAGTATAACCCTGAAAATGGAGGAAAACAAAGCAGATACAAAAAAAAGTATGCATAAACTAACAGTAAAAATATATATCAGCCTCCCGGTGCAATGCAAATATAACTGTACTGACGAAATTCCCTAGTATGACATGTTTTATTCCATGGGTCTTCAACAGGGAGTCCAGGACCCCTAGGACATACATTTTACCCAAATATCCTATATGATGCTTTAGCTTGACTGTATCAGACCAACTTTGATGTAATTTCTGTAGGATGGTAGAGATTAATTTCGGATTTCGTTAGCTAGCAGTATGAGCGGTATGCTACTGCATATGAGCTATTGGAATAGCTATGAGGCCATTTTAACTGGGTAACTCATTAAGTGTATAACGTTTGACAACATTCAAACCAAGATACAAAGCACACATATTTCTGTTATAACAACACATTATTTTAATGAAATGGCAGAATAACAGTAGAATCTGTGTATGCTTAGTTATTTGGTTATTCCGTTTCAAAACCGAAAAAAATAAATGCACAATTTCACCCGAATATCCTAAATAATGCTTTAGTTTGACTGTATCGGAGCAAATTTGATGTAATTTCTGTAGGATGGTAGAGATTAATGTCAGATTTCATTAGCTAGCGTATCTGCTACGTTAGCTAGGTGCTAGTCCGGGCAAGAAAATATCAACTGCTTCATGCGATGAACAACGTTAAATTAGTTTATTATATATGTTATTATAAGTAATTAGTTCCCTCTTTTGCGCTCTGGGTAGCCTCCTTTATATTAAAAAAACATATGGGTGTAACTGATGTAAAAATATAGAGTAGGTATGCGCAACGGTCATGTTACATTTCTTACCGATTTGTGATTCCTGTCACTCCAGGGTCCCTTCAGGCGGGGAAAATAAATGGCGGCTTGGCGGTAACTGAAGCCTGCCTTCCTCCACACCCTGAGCTGTAAGCTCTTTCACTAGACCTTCAAGATTTAGTGCAACGTGCAACAGTCACGTTTTGACGTTAGCCACCGGTTTAAACAATGTAAATTCATTGTAGGGAATTTCAACGTTGAAAAACCGGCATCTATATTAAATTGATTCAACAAAAACATTTAAAATGTTGAAATGGTATCTGTAATAACCATAGACTGTATATATAAATGGACGTAGGGTCCGTGACGTCACCCATAGGATTCTGCAGAGTTGGCGAGAAGCCCTTATAGGCCATAAGGTGAACCCTGTTATCGTTTCATCCCGCTCCACAGAAGTGGAACTACACAATCTTTAGTTCATAAAAAAGAACGAGTCATGCTTATCCACCAAAAAAAAGTTTGTCGCAAAAATTCCTGTCAATTCTTCTAGGCACGTAATTATTGGCTGAACTAGTCCCTTCAAAGCGTAATAATATCTTGGTCAAAAGTAGTGCCACGGTCCGTCACGTGATCGTGCTACACCAATTGGGTAGCTGCATATACCGGTATCAACAAACAGATTTTGAAAAAATGGCAACCGCCATGGTTTCATCGAGTAGCGGGGACAAGGAAAACGCACCAGAAAGTCTCAAAAAGTCAAAATTATCAACACACAAACATTGTTACATGCATATTACGTCTGTGAAGCACGAAAAGGTTGATTATTTTACCAATACAAGATGGAATACGTACAGGACAAGCTTACAACGGTGGCATTGATTTTGAAGTTACAAATACAATATTATCATATTACAATAATTATAATATATATATATTATATATATATATATATTATATATATCTATAATAATAATCTATATATCTATAATAATAATCTATAATAATGTAATTCATCAAATTATTATATGATGAATGAGTAAATAAATGAATCAATGGTCATTGGTATAAGTACTGCATTTTATTGATCTAAATTACTTAACGTAACAAGTTAACCTTTTTCTTGGACGCAGCTATGTATGAAATCAAGTCATGTTTATTTTAAGAGTGCATTTAACGTGTACAGGGTAACAATAAAAACAGACAGACAGACAAAAAGTCCTCAGTCTAATGGAATAATCCACGAGCTCAGCCAATGAACCTAGCGATGCGAACATGGTAGTCCAGGAATGTTGTTGTAGCTGGAGTTGGCTGATAAACGCTGCTAGCCAATGTTGATTCGATGGTCAACTCTGTTCCCAGATAGTAAAACCTCTCACAAATACCGCGTATATAACGCAAATATCTCGAACTTAGTGATGTATTAAGACATATGACAAAACATGACATAAAACAAGCATACAGCACTGTTTAGAATCCATTTGGTCTGGTTTAGCGTAACCATGGAGGCGGCCATCTTTCACTTCTGTTGACAATATGCAGCTACCCAATTGGTGTAGCACGATCACGTGACGAACCGTGGCACTACTTTTGACCAAGATATTATTACGCTTTGAAGGGACTAGTTCAGCCAATAATTACGTGCCTAGAAGAATTGACAGGAATTTTAGCGACACACTTTTCTTTGGTGGGTAAGCATGACTCGTTCTTTTTTATGAACTAAAGATGATGTAGTTCCACTTCTGTGGAGCGGGATTTCTTTTCTAAAGGACTTTTCGAGGTTCACCTTGCGGCCTATTAGTAGACGGAGTCGGCCACTAATGGCTCGACAGTGACGTCAGAGTTCAACTCCCGCCTGCTCCAAATAAGGGAAGTTCCAGAGCTAGCTGAAGCTACCAAGCTAAGCTAACATGCTCCCCGTCTGCACACTGCCGTGGCATTTTACGTTTCTAAGGTAAGCGGACATGAAACTATTCAACAAAACTATAAATAATAATCTAAGTTATTGAGTTTTTAGCATAATACTTCAGAATCTTAAAATCCCTTAATGTTTGTATGCAATTGTGCTAAATTCAACACTGGAATCAAGCAAATATTAATATGTTTGCATGACATTAGTTATTTGTATTTTGATATCATACGATATATACGTTTAATACATTTAAGTCAAGCTAAGGTACATGTGATGGTAGCTAGTTAGTGCTCTTACCTGTGAGGCCTCCTCCAAACAGCATAATAACCAGACTGTATCATTAAAACTAAGTACCAGTTCTAGACAAACAATTCAAAAGACAAAATGTATTTAAAGACCAATCTTTATTTGAATGTGCCTCTTAACCTGATATATTAGTTATACAGTAATAGTATTGACAATCTAAAAAAACTGAGCAACTCAACAGTCAACTTTATGTTTCTTATTGTCTAAAGCATTTATTATTTTCATTTTTCCCCTCTCATATTCAGTGAGGACGGATTGAGACAGCGTGGTGTGGCTGCAGAGACTTCAGGGAGAAACCTCCGTGTGATGGACGTCCTGTCTGTTGGTTTGGAGAGGACTGAGGGTCTTTCCTCAGCGAGGAGGACCAGGCCTGATGGAGGAGCCCATGCTGGGCATAGCTGATACCAACTGCACAGGCCTAGTCTGTCACTTTATTTGACTAAATGTGTTTACTTATACATTTAATAGGTTTACACCTTCTGTCCATATGTGCTTTTTATTCAAAACATTTGATGAACTTTTGGTTCACATTTCAATAAATTGTATTTGAATTTGCACTCCTTTTGTCCATTATTCTGACTGAAGATTGGCCCCATTTATTTGTGACGTTGCAAACTCTGCGGTACAAGGCACAAGTGATGTGAAGCTCATAAAGCGAGGCAAATAGAAATAATCAGCTGATGGAGTGTAGATGTGGAAATAGCTGCATTCGATCAGCTGACTGTTTTCACAATAAAAGTAGTTTCTTAGTGAATGCCCTGTACTGGTCTTAAAATCTCATAACATCAGCTTTTAATGTTCCTCTTGGATGTTCTTCTTGACCCTCAGAGAAGGAGAAAATGTCGTGTCTTTCAGGCATGTCCTTTCCTAACAAAAATTACAGGAAACATAAAACATATTATTGCAGAACAAGTGTGTTATTTATGAAAGCGGTGTGTTTGTGTGTTTAGGGGCTGTAGATATAATTTTGTAATTGTAATGTGTTTTTTTTATATTTCAACAGTGAGCTACAAAGACAATCAGATTATGAATGAACAGTATGAAGCTCATCAACATTGAAATATATGTTATTATCAAAATAATATTTAACTGTTATCAAAACGTAGTGCAACTGTAGAAGCTTGCTCTGTTGTCTCACTGAAAGAATCACTTTTACCACGTTTTTTACAGACAATATTGAGAGATAAATAGTAGCAGTTCTCACTGTGTTAAATATTTTTGCCTTCAATACATTAAATTAGAAAGCTGACAAAATCATAGTGCTTGTTAACATCTAAATGTAACTTTTTGCATGGAAAAAATCCTCAACTTAACTGATGTGTTGGTGATCTAGTATTTAGTATTGTTTAATGGAATGTATATCAGTGTATTCAAGTCAATACTTCATTTATTTAAACCAATATCTTTCTTGATTCTTTGTACAGTATGAAAAAAAGAGTCTTTGTACCTGTGCTGAAGTTTACTGCTGTGAGGAGTCCAGTTATGTCTCTCACTCTCTGGTCCAGCCTGTCTGCATCACCTGGACACCTTAAACCAGGGCTATTCAATTACACATTCAGTTGGGCCAGTTTTTATAACTACACAATTCAGCTGGGCCAGACATTCAGCGGCCTGTAAAAAGCGGGTAATGACACATTT